AATACTCACTGTTGTGAAAGTGCCCTGGCAGCGTTGTTTTTTCGTCACAAGAGCAAATTCTCGTCAGTTTCGACTATTCTTCCAGTGCCACGTACTCGTCCTTCACGTTATCGATGTAAGTCTATCAAAGGAAACCTCTCTTATAAAATTGTTCCAGTCAATTTTGGCAGATTGTCAGCTCCTTAGCCCACCGCTTAAGCGATGTTAGTTCCTGAGCCCAACAGTAGATGAAAAGCAGCATTGTTAGAAATTGTATTATGGAACCACTAAACCTATTTGTCGGATCAAATGTTCATTTCTTGTTCGCAACTTTTAATATTCATCCTCCACATGCTTTCTTTTACATAATATTATTATTTCATGGCCATTTACGCTCTTTCGATTACGCAAATATCCTTTTCTTGGGGAAACGATGACATCTTTCTGACTCCTCGGTAAATTAAAAGTGTCAACATTTTTTACAATCTCATTTTAATAAAGACTACTACGATGTCACGCGATTCGTCAAATATGTGAAAGTACCTAGTTTTACATAATTTGGCGGTTTATCGCGAGGCCGTGAAAATGAAGTACCAAAAAATTAAATACGTTTAAATTGAAGTTCGATGCTATTAAATATATGATAAACCCATATGATGTTATTAAATGTAGGATAACATTTTCACCGATAATAATTAAAAAAATACTTCTGCCATTTTTTACAGAACTTGGCCCTTTGGCATTATTTGAAGAGTAGAATCGAAATAACTGGCAAGTCATTTCAGAAAAAGTCTGAATTTGTGTCAAAATCTCATGTTAGTACAACGCAATATAGAAACATATCCTACTTCGAACTTTCGAGACATGAGAAACTCAAGCTTGAATTTCATTAGCCGGTCGAATACAACGGGAGATTGTTACAGGATTATTACATAATTTCCGATTACAAAAGAACATACCCTTTTCTACAGCACACATTACAAGTACACTTTACAAACTTCCTAGGAAATTATTATATACTATTTCTTTAGAGCTGCAATTATTAAAATGCAATACTGTAGCTAACTTTATATAATTATTCGCTTACTTATTAACTTTATATAATTATACTTTATCATGATATTCGAAATCATATCAACATATTGTCAAACGTGTAATAAAATATAAACAAATTAAATTAAAAGGACGAAAAGAAAGTTTATAAGGAAACTTCCTTAACAATATTAATTAATGCAACAAAAAAGCGTTAAGAAAAATCGAGTAAGGGGTATCATGCAAATAAACTGTACAGCAGTAATAATTACATAATTCATCTATACATTTGAAAATGCTTAAATCCTCTATCAAAGGATCAAAAATTAAATTTAAAAAATAAATAACCTTGCTTAAGTTATTATTTAACATGTAAAACATAAAATAAACTAATTATATTACAAAATGAAGAAACCGTGCTGGAAAAAACTTGATATTTACTAATGAATATTTTAAACAGAAGGCAATGTTTTGTCAATATACAGAAAGAAAATAAATATTCTTCTCACACTAATTCAGAAGTCAAACTAATACAGAAGTCAGAAATAGTACTAATTCAGAAGTCTAGAGCAGTTCTTCTCATGTCAGAATCAGAGACAAAAAGACATTTTAGCACAGTAAATTTTTTTAAACGTAGCCGCAGTTCTTTTGCAATGGCCACTACTTATAGGCTGATCACTTTAAATTTCCGATTCTAGTATTTTCAGGTTTAAGATATGATGATAGATCAAAGAATTTGAAACGGGAAACTTTTCTTCTAGACACCATGTTTCATAAAGTAATGATTATTGTTTCATTGAATGTAGGAAAGTATGAAATTTTGTTTTTACGAAACTCTGATGCTTTTAAGAAAAGTTATTAATTTCTAAAACTATCATTTAAAATTATCAGGTTTTTAATATATCATTTAAAACCCTTGTTTCTCCATATTAAGTTTCGGCGTCTGACTAAAATTTCATCGGTTAAAAATCGGTCTTTTCATCCATGGTTAAAAATCGGTCTTTTCATCCATGATTAAAAATCGGTCTTTTCATGATTAAAAATCGGTCTTTTCATCCATGATTAAAAATCGGTCTTTTCATCCATGATTTCAGTCGTTTGAAGGCTACAGCTTTGAAAATGAAAGTTCATTTTTAGTAGTATTCCAGAAGTCTACCAAAATAACAAAAATAACTATGTAGGAACTAAATAAATATCGTTACACATTTCTTAATGAAGGAGATTTTGAAAATATATTTAGTTCATTTTCGGTGATTAATATTTTCATTAAAATGGGATTTTACTGGTTACTAACACATACATACACACACACATATATATATACATATATATGTAAGATATAACAAAATACGATAGCTGCTTTACAAAATAATTGGCGACCTCAAAATTAACATTCTAGATTTGGTGATCTCCGCCTAAATTCATATGTTCTCGCAAATTCGAGATCTTTCGACGTTACGTAACGCTGCCTGAAAAGGGTAACAAAACTAATACTAACCAATCATAGCTTATCTCTAGAATCACATCTAGTCTGGTAAAAAAATCCCTGGCAGCTAATTACGTCACTTCTACTAGCTCCCACCTTGCTAATATCTCCTCGTTTTGTTTCCCCTTCTTAAGATCCTGTATCTTAAGGGGGCTCGTTCACCTTAAATCTCTTAACATCTTCGAATATGTTACTTTTGCAAGAATTGGGATAACTTATTTATTTAAGAGAAATTATTTCCAACTTTTTACAGCTGACAATATAATATAGCTGCTTTGGGAACTGGTAACCAGAAAGTTTGTGTTGCCACAAATATTTTTATAATTTAATCGGCTTTGTGACAAAACATTTTATGCGTTCACATCATGTTTTCACCTTGCGCGCACTGTTTAAAATATTCTGTTGCGTAATTTAATTCCATATTTAATATATAGATTTTATAACATTTGAAAACTACTGTGAACCAAAAACCTAAGAATTTCATGTTAAATTCTTACTGTATTTGAAGTTGAGTTTATAAAATGTATTTTATTAAAAAAATATGTAATACTTTCATTTATAAAACTTTTAATATTAATATATTCATCAGATTTTTGGTTCAGTTAGAAAATGGTGCCCATATAAAGAATTCCATCAAATTTCAAGTATGTACCATTAGCCATTGTTATTGTTATAGCATGCGCGCAATGTGAAAACATGACTTGAACGCATAAAAAATTTTGTCACAAAGCAGATTAAATTATAAAAACATTTGTAGCAACACAAAATTTCTGATTACTAGTTCCCAAATCAGCTATATTATGCAGTCAGCTATAAAATTATGGAAGTAAATGCTTTTAAAATAATAAGTTATCCCAATTTTTGCAACAGTAACATATTCGAAGATCTAAGGGTTTTAAGGTGCACGAGCCCCCTTAAATTTAAAAATCAATGTAAATAGCAGTTTATCATATTTCATTATGATTGAATCATAGAAATGTATCGGATTTCGTTATTGATTGTATAAACATCTATGGAGCTATCATCTATTTTATATGTGCGAAAATAAAGACTGGAAACTCTTCAAGTTCATATTTTGTTATCTGCAACTGTAAGCCTTCACGCTCAGCTACGCCGATTGCAAGCTAATTCCTCTTCTATATTCCCGGGCTCACCAGTTGCCGAACGGTAAAATCGTTGGACACTGGTAGTTCGGTCCGAGTTTCGAATCCCGCGAACGGGCTGGCTGCATGGGCGTTTTCGTGTTTTTCCTCATGTGTAACGTGTATACGAGCTAGTTTCCCTTAGAAAGTCCTCCACGAAGGCATCCATCAACTTAGGCTGATAGCCCTAGTGTGCTTTGCCGTATTCTCAATACACCAACTTCTATGTTCCCGTAATAATGACAAATATATATATATATATATATATATATATATATATATATATATATATATATATTTAATGTTTAAAAAATTAAATCTAGGTACAATACACACATATTTCTTCATTAATGCATACGTTCGTAGCCGTAGAAAAACAAGTATGTACAAATAAACATATATTATATATATAACCGTAAAAAAAAAACAAATATAGACAAAAAGTAACAAATTTAGAACCAAATTCACAGAGGAACGAATGACATAAAAATCAATGCCAGTAAAATCAAGAATTTCATAAACATGTAAAAAATAAACCTATTGTCATCAAAACAGAAGAAATGACTTGAAAACAAACTACAAATTTGAAAAATACAAAAATTACAGAAAACATATAGGAAGAAGAATGCAATTAAATTCGGATTCAACGTTATCAATTGAGCGGAAATAATATCGGGATAATTTTGTTTTAAAATAAAAAAAATACTCTATGGCTCTCTCACTTTATATACATATGTCAGTCATTATATGCCAATGTTGGAAGGCAAAGCTTTTTTGTGAAACTTGAAAAATTAGTTTTCGAAAATTCCAAAAGTGTACCATTTAATTACAGAATGATCATATTTCTAGCCTGGATTAAGAAATAGTATAAACTTTGCAGAATATTTTTTGTAAAACCTCAAAAGGAAATCAGTATTAAAGCTATTTATACACGTAAAATAATTTAATAATATAAAAAATACAATTATAGCAGAAAAATTCTGAAATTCGCAAATATGCTTGACATTTGCAGAGGAAGATGGTATTTTCGAAATCGCAGGAAAATCTCTATAATTTCTTAATAGCCACAAAACTTTCTCGCCGAGATAAACGTACTGCCCTAATTGTCATTCATATGGCAGTCACATTAAGAGTACGTATTCTATGTCTAAATAGTGCTACGTAGCATTATAGGCGCATATAAAATTACAGTATCAGGAATATTCATACTGAATATTACATTTCTTAAGCAACCACCAGCACGGAATATTAAACTATTCTGGAACCGGCGGTGCTGATGTGAGGCTGATTTCACCATATTTGACATAAATCGTAAAACGCTAATATTCTGTAGCTAAAAGTAGGATAAAGGCATTAATTACCTGAGGGATGCTGCAGAGGCAGCTGATTAGCCAGGCCAGAGCGATCATTATCTTTCCCCGACGTTGAGAATCGTTAACTTTGAGTGGATGCAGGATGGCAAAGTACCGGTCCAGGCTAATGCAAACGAGTACCATTGATGAGAGATAAGGTCCGAAAGCTCGCATGTATAGCATGATTTTACACACTGCATTTCCAGCTATCCAAGCAACAGTGATCCGCCATGCAATCTCCAGTGGGATCATGACGAAGGTTACAATTAAATCAGCAATAGCCAAATGCATGATCATCAGATTCACACGTGACTTTCGATGCCTGTTCCGTATGAGAGTCACGAAAACAGGGATGTTACCTGCAGCAGCCAACACAAGCATTAGACTGTACAAAATCACTTCGCGAATCGAGTCTTCATTGAAGGTTAGATAGTATGGAATATCTGGAAATGCAGTCGAAAGATCCAGATTGCTGCTGTTAGTAACATTCAAGTTCAAAGTTTCATTGTCCATGCCAATTTCAAGCATCAAAGGGTCTTTCTTTGTTTCTTCCATTTCAAATAGAATCTTACTCATATATATAGAATGAGAACTCAAACAGATGCAAAGGGGCTGAAATGATTTATATCCATTTATTTAATAGTGCACTGTTTATTTTGAAAACAATTTAACCTCTTCTAAAATTTTATAAAAGCAAACGTTTTGCATAAAATTAGCTTAAAATCACATTATTAATTACTCATTTACTGACAAAATATTCTGATTTTATTCTGAAAAGAAATCTTGATATCCAAATAATCAGCTAACGATTATTAGAAAAAGCATCGCATGAAATATTAAATTTATTCTTGCACGAAAAATGATTAAATGTTTGCCGAATGATTTGGAATATTCTTTTATTAAATTGTATGTTTTATTACTTTTGATGTACGATGTTTTTCATTTCAAATTCCGTAAAACGAAATTTTATTTTAAATATTTCCCGAAAAGAAGTTTTAGAAATAAGTGATAATGTATGAATAATTTTACTAATATATGAAATTATATTCTCGCATTTCTTTCAATTAAATTTTAAATAAGTATAATACCAAGTAAGAAATTACAATGGACGTAGAATTCTTACTTACTATTTCAAAAGATGTTTTAGTTACGTATTAATTTAATTTTTATTCAAACTAATAATCGTACGGAAGATTAAATGAACGTAGAATTGTTACTTACTATTTTGAGAGAAGTTTTAGTTACGTATTAGTTTAATTTTTATCCAAAGTAATATTCGTACGGAAGATTAGGACATTCTTCGGCGCAGTGCGTACACTTTTATCCACACTTTTTGATTTGGAATGAAAAGTGCTTCAAAATTTCTAAGAATTTGATTCCGAGAGAGACATTTAATAATATTCGATAAAAGAGAAACAGCAGTTCCACGGTTTAAAATATTAAAAATCTTCAAAAGGGAGTTTGGCTTATTTATTTACATGCAGTTATTTTAATAAATATATATTTTTACTCTAACTGAATAAACTAAGTACGTTTCGCACCCAACGTAACCTAAGGTTGGCATTGATCTGAGAAAATTTTCTCTCAGTCAAAGCTTTAGTTCCACTCGGCGAACTGCAGAGGGCGTTGCTTATTGAACGACCAGTCATTGATGATTATTTCAGTTTTTCAACTTCTCAAGTTTTAGATAATCCTTTCTCTGTCCATCGCATCAAATGAGGTATTTCATACTTTTTTCCCCTGAATGTAACATTTTTATTTCTCAGATAACAAACGCCCCATGCAATAAAATCTAATACTCCTAGTCCTATACTTTGTTTATTGAACAATTTTAGAATTCTTTCAAGCACTCGATTGAATGCTTTTACTGTAGTATATATGATTGCAACTTGGTAATGGGATTGATGTCTGGAAACAGGATTGTTGAGTCAAAAATTTCTGTAAAATGATATCATTTACACAAATATGAAATCACTAGATAGCATTTAACATTGTAAATTTCTGGAAATTGCATAGAGTAAATGTAAACTTATTTATAGGAAAGCTGTTTTGAATTACTCCTTTGGAAAATTTACGTTACCATATCTCAATGATTTCAAGAAAACAAAATAATATTTTAGTTTTATCGGTGAGAAAACTAATTTATTCATTCATTTCCGTTGAAGACTTAAGATTCCAATACCATCTGCTCTTGGAGACAAAAGCAATGTCTGAATTCTGAAATTTGTTAGTCGTAATTTTTTTCCGACATTATGCTCGATTAGGAGTAAAAATTTAGAATTTATTTCATCACTTTTTCAGGAGATTCTTAACATTTCTTCCGAAGGAATACTTTGCCATTTTGATTCGTCATGATGTCTCTGAAAGCTGCATTCTGAATTAAAAGGAAAAGTAACGTAAAGCAACGGTTCTCAACCTTTCTGACTAACGCATGACATTTAAACAAAAATTGAAAACCTTTAGTACCACCACAGTAAAATGAGCATATCTTTAGAATTTTCGATACATAGTCTCGCACGCTGGAGATAGAAATGTTTTTTCCCTTCATATAGTGTTGTCATTTCTCGCTTTGAAATCGTTGAGTTCGTTAATCAAAAATTCGTTAAAGTTTTACGAAATATGAAATCAATAATAAAACAAATTCCGAATTCCAAATTACGTCTTTCAGATGCCCATACTCGGTGGAGGATTACGTTATTCAAAATTAGAAAAGTGAAACGGGTGTTTAAGTTTTCAACGTAAAATGCCAAAACGAAGTTAATAGCCCTTCTGGGCTAATACCTCTTGGGTTAAAATGAAGGAAAGAAAATCTGGATGCTATCAGATTTTCTATTACTCCTAAAAGGGCATTTTTTTAACGTCATACTCTTAAACCTATAATATCCTTAACTTGACCATGACCTCTTAAATTACTTCTTCGTTTAAACATACAATGTTCTTAACTCTTCGAACTAAGTTTAATATAGTTAAATTCTTAGTTTGGAACTACGCGCTTTGATCAAGGTATATCGAAAATAAAATTTTCGATTTTATGGCGGAAAAAACGCGAAGAATCAATCAAAATATAGAGTAGTTTCAGTAAGGAAAAAAATTGAAGGAACACATCATTATCAGTTTAGATACTATGTTTCGAAGTTTATTTTTCCTTACCTTCGTAATTCTAGTTCCGACAGTCAGTTCGTCAAAAATTACAACTAACTGAAGTTCGGCAATCCCACTCTATCTTTCTAGTGTGTTTTCATTTTCACGTTTTAGTGCACTTTCACAGTATCGTAATTAACAGTGTCTCTTATCCGCCCATTTTACCCCTGTATGAGAAAATATCACGCAGTGTTTCACTCGGGTTTAGTTAGTTATTAGCCTGAACGTTAGAAGGAAATACCTCCAGTTTTCACTGCAAAGCGTATTTTTCTTTCATGAGAAAGACTGCTATAATTAGCATTGTAACCCCACGGCTCAATGAGCGCCACCTAGCGGCTGACGGGAAAATCACCGGCCAAAAAAGACTATAGCCTTCAGTCGATGTACGGGGAATCATGGACTGAGCATGGTGTTCCCCGAGATTTACTTTGTAACTTAAATGTGTAATTATAATTGAATAATTGAATAAAGTATCGGTTTCATCTTCACCCGAAGATTATTTTGGAAAGTATAAGGTACTGACTTCATCTTCACCCGAAGATAGCAGATAAGAGATTTTCACTTAATAAGCAATATAAAATTCTAACTATAACGTCGTTAATACTTTAATACAGTAAAAAATCCGAAATCCGGACGTCCATTATCCGGAATGATCTAAAATCCGTACCTCAAAACCACAAAAATTTTTTTTAATGCTTTACGCATGCACGTTTATTTTTTTCTTCCATAGTAAAACACGCGCAGATTTTCAATTAAAAATTCCGATTCTTAATTTCACTTAGGCACTAAATGAAATACTTCGTTATGGAAAAACTATCATGTAAGCATAAATTTGTGAGATTAATAATTTGGATCCGTAGCTGAGTGTCTACTTGGCATACGTCTCACACTTGGATCTTGGATCATATCTTTACTGCTGGCTTTAGCTACTAGGAGCTCTTACCAGTATATTATCATTTTACCATAGGCCATAAAGTTAAAAATTTAAGAGGTGTATTTAAAATACACCGCGCCCGAAGGCGAGATCAATAAATGAGAGAACTCATAAAATAGGTTTTGCTAAGTTGCATATCATGGCATAGCATGGGTGATTATATACGTAAATGGTGGCGAGAAGCGAAATGAAATTCTAAGCTTCTGCGTGAGTCAAGAAGAGCAGGAGCACGTGATCAGCGTCCGGCATTTAGATTGGTCGAGGAGTCAGAGTTCCAAAAATGAAGTTTTTGTAGTTTTTGGCAATAAATAAAGTTCGAACATAGTAAAAGCAACATCTATTTGTCAATTTAAGAGTCTTATGTCTTTTGAAACACTTGAAAATCTTCTAAACTTGCGATATAATCATTAAATGAATAGGAAACTGTAAAAGATGAAAATGAGGTCAAGTAGCTCACTAGGGCTAATGAGTGAGAGTAAGCACTTGGTGTTACCACGAACTTTGATTTTAAAACACACGATACGAAATATTAAAAATAAAAAGTAAACAAATAAGTAGTAAAACGAAGAATTCATCGATGAAAAGTAAATTTTGCAAAGTTCATCTTTCTTGAATAGTAACTGCAAAGGAATAGTAATTTTTTTTTTTTTTTTTTTTTTTTATATATATATACATTATATACACTACCACCACTTAGAATTGTGGTGGATCGTTCGAGGTCTTTTCACTACGTTCTCAATAGTAGGGTCATAGTCTGTAAGCGATTTAATAGTTTCTTCATAGGGAGAATTTCTCATATCTTCAAAGAAGTTGTGTGCAGAAATTAGGATTTGGTCGTGAATTGGGATTGATATCCAGGTCTTTGTGAATTTGAGAATTTCGCACGAACCAGGTTGCAGAACTTTTGCGTTCACTATGCTACGTAAGATTTTGTTTTGGAGTACACGTTTAATTTTTGTCTGTCTATTTTTCGGGCAGTAGCCCAGGCTGGAACTGCATAGAGGATTATTGGTCGAATAAGTGAGATGTAGATATTTTTCTTGGTACGGAGGCTTTAACTTAGAGTTTCTTCCAATTAATGAGTAGAGAGCAATGAAAGCAGCGTTAGCCTTATTTGTAACATATTGAATATGATCTTTGAAATTTAAGGTTTTGTTAATATAGACACCTAAATATTTATAGGAGTTGGCAACAGGAATATCTTGGTTATTGAGTCGGATATTTATATTCACTGGGATATTTTTTCTGTATCTGCGAAAGAGAACTACGCAGCATTTATCAATATTTAGTTTGATTTTCCAGTCTTGACAAAATTTGTTAATAATGTTGACTTGGAGCTGAAGTTTCTCTAAAGCATTATTTGGACTTCGTGAACTGGTGAGGATGACTGTGTCGTCGGCATATTTGAGTATATTAGAATGAAAAGGTAGAGGCATATCATTTATGAATATTGTAAAAAGCTTCGGTCCTAAAACACTGCCTTGAGCTACTCCACTGTAAATCACTTTTTTTGAAGAGATTGCTTCACCACAGCGCACTTGAAAAGTACGATGTTTAAAATAATAAGAATGCATAAGCTTAATAAAGCTGTTTGGTAAAAGGAAGTTAGATAGCTTATGAAGTAAGCCAGCATGCCACACTC